ACCGCCCCGCACGTGGCGGACGATACCAGCTGGACATCCTCATCTGGGACGCAGGCAGGAGAGCCTTGCAAAGGCACAGAGGGCTCCTGCTTGGCTCAGCGACCTCGGGGAGGTGGCTCCTCACAAAACAGCGCCAAGCCCAAATGCCCTTTGCTGTGGGAAAACAACGGCAGCAACCCCAGCAGGGTTTCTCCTCTCCCTCCCGCGCTTTTCGGAGCAGGATTACTCTTGCCGGCGCTACCAGCTGCACCAGGAACCCCGACCTCCCCTTCGGCTTCCCGGGGAGCTTCGGACATCGCACGCGGTGTGCTGGGGAGGGGTCCCCTGGCAGGACCCTGCCCCTCTCACAGCCCTGCGGGGCCGGCATCTCGGCGAGGAAGCTGCCGCTCCCTCTCAGGCCAGCTCCGCAGGGAAACGCACAACGGCACAGAGCGCAGGAGCCTCCAGAAACGGGCAAACAGAATTTAATAAGAGAAGTAAAAGCTTGCCCCGAGCAGCACACTGCATCTATCCAAATAGACATGCCTGTGATGCACAGTGCTATCTTCTGCATTTTTATTAAATATTGACAGTTATTAAATGTCTCTGCTGGAGGATTTGCCTCCAAAGCCAATGTTGCTTTTCATTCTGAACTTTGATGAACTGTCTCAATTTCGAGGCACACATCTGCTGAACGGCAGCTGACTGGGGCTGACGCTTCTGAGGGATGGAGGGAAGTCAATAAGGAAATGTCACGGGAGAGGTCAGCCCAAGGCAGGACTCACCAAGGGCTGCAGGGACGCAGCAGTGCTCATACAACGGGGAAAGCCGGGGGGGGCTCTGCCGCCGAGGGGAGAGGAAAACGAATTTTGTTTGCTCCTTAATTGTATTCTGATTCTCAGCTGGGAGCCGGCACTGTAGGGCTGAGAGACACGGTCATGAAATGCAAGAATAGAAAGGTGTGTTTTGCTCGGGATTTGGGAAAACTGCCATTCGGTATTTCCGAATGTCCAGACAGCGATGTCAGCTTTCCTCTCCATCCGTTTTACTCCAGTTTAGAACCAGGTACCAGACTGTGACCGCAGCTCCAGAGCTGAAAAGCGGTGGCTGGTGCGCGATTCCCTGTCAACTCCAGGAAACCCACACCTGAAGCCCAGCCGGGTGCTCTCGCGGTGCCGACCATTAGCACTGGGCTCCAGTTCGTTGCACCCCGTTGGCGCATCTCTTGTTCTCGTAACACGATCGCACTTCAAATACTGAAAATCCCCCTAAGCTCCCACAAGACAGGGGCCATTTTCTGAAGCGAACTCCAACAAGAAAAGGAGATGCAGGGGTCTAGCTAGCCAGTCACACAGCACAGCGGCCCTTGCTTCTGCCGTACTTCGCTGTCCTTCAGGCAGGTGCCATAGGTACCAG